ACAAGTAATAGATATAGTACAGTGTGAATATAACTTTTAGATGCATTGGGAACCAAAAAATTCATGTGACGTGCTTTAATGCAGTATGTACTAGCTTTATTATGGTAGTATGGAACTGAACCTACAATATCTTTGAGATATGCCTGCAAAATGGAGCATTTTATCAAAATACTGTGAAATTAAATAAAGGAAAACTCATCTAAAATGGAGGCAGAAGGCCAGAAAAAGGAGCTCTCATAATTTACCACTTGTCTTCAACTGCAGACAAGTAGAAAAGTATTCCCAATAGAAAGAAGCTCATGATACTTCACTACAAGAGCAGGAGGGAAAAAAAGATTTTTTTCCTTGCCCAGGAACAGCCCAACCAGTGAGAGACTCTTACAACTTAGCCAATGAAAAGCCATTTCAAACTCCAAGTTTACTCCAATGTACTTTAAAAGAGCTCCCCCAACTCTTCCTTCCAGCTATAAAAGAGTATTCCTCTCCATTGTTCTTGGACTTGACTATGGTTGTGCCTACTCTCCAAGTCCCAAACTGAAATTCTCTGCTATTTCCAGATAAACCCATCTTCCTGGTAAAATAACTGGATACTTACTTTTAAGGTTAACGTAATATAAATAAGGAACTAGGCCCACAGAGAGACAGACATCTTCAATCAACAAAATTAGAAATTGAAACAGTAGTTTAACCCAGGCAACATCAAAATACTCCAGGGCTATCCAGGCTTTTGGGCTTCTTACACAAAATGATAAAGGAAAAAGTAATCACCACCTCATGTAAACTTTTTTAAATTATACAAAAACTCGGGAGTATTCAACCACTAAAAAATAGGCTACCTCTTTTTGATACAAAGACCAGGTGAGAATCCCTCAATAAAATAACACTAAAGCCAAGCTCACTTCATAGAGACAAATATCCTAAATAAATTCATAGTATTTCCATTATAGCAGTGAATTAACATTAGAAAACGCATTCCAAATGGAAATCACTATCATAGCAAAGAAAAAAAAAAGAGGGGAAAAGGATGGGACTATGTGCAAGGGTAAAGAAAAAGCTTTTGACAAAATAAATAAATAACACTTGCTGATGATAATAAGTTTTGGCAAGTTTGCATTACAAAAGAATTTCCATGCTTCCTTTGGCACCAAATACAGTAAAATTGGAATGATACAGAGAAGACTAGCATGGCCCCTGTGCAAGGATGACATGCAAATTTTGTTCCATATTGGAAAAAAAATAAAAAGAGAGAGAGAGAGAGAAAGAAAGAAAGAAAGAAAGAAGAATTTCCATTTTCTAAAATCTATAATGAATATACTAAATGGGAACTACTGCAAATATATCTAATAGGTTTGACAAGAAAACAAAGACATATGATATCAAATCCACTGTCTACAACTGGATGAAAATACATACACAGTACACAACTATTAGACAAGAATATGAATACCAAAGTAAATAAAAGGAAAGAATAATGAAAAGAAAGAGGTAAAAATGGTGGCAACATGATATCTTAATTAAGAAGTTCCAAGTAATTGGTACAGAAATTATTAAGACACATAAACAGCTTCAGAAAAATGTATAAAAAAATCAACACAGCAAATTAAGGAATCTGACAAAACAAAATCACTAACAAATTACAACATGTAATGGAAGATATATTACTGAAAACAATAATATCCAAGATATACTTAATACAAAACCAAAAAGACATCTACAGTTTCTTTAGGAGATAACTACAAAAACATACTGATAGGCAAACACAAATCAAAACCACAATAAGATACTACCTTACATCAGTCAGAATGGCTAAAATTAACAACACAGGAAACAACAGATAGTGGTGAGGATGCAGAGAAAGGAGAATCCTCTTACACTGTTGGTGGGAATGCAAACAGATGCAAACACTCTGGAAAATAGTATGGCAGTTCCTCAAAGAGTTAAAAAAAGAACTACCCTACAACGTGACATTTATCCAAAGGGTACAAGAATATTGATTTGAAGGGCCAGCAACATCCACAATAGCCAAAATATGGAAAGAGCCCAGATGTCCACCAACAGACAAATGGGTAAAGAAGTGGTGGTATATATATATACAATGGAATATTACTCAGGCATCAGAATGTAATCTTGCCACTCGCAATGATGTGACTGGAACTAGAGTGCATTATGCTAAGTGAAATATGTTAGTCAGAGAAACACGAATACCCTATGATTTCACTCATATGTGGAATTCAAGAAACAAAACAGATGAACACAGGGGAAGGGAAGAAAAAATAAAAGAAGATGAAAACAGACAGCGAGACAAACCATGAGAGGATCTTTATACAGGACGCAAACTGATGGTTGTTGGAGGGGAGGTGGGTAGGGGAATGGGCATTAAGAAAGTCACATGATGGAATGAGCACTGGGTGTTATATGCAACTGATGAATCACTAAACTCTACCTCTGACACTAATAATACATTGTATGCTAAACTGAATTTAAATAAAAAAAATTTTTAAACTTACTGAAAGGGACACCTGGGTGGTACAGTCGGTTAAGCATCTGTCTTTGGCTCAGGTCAGGATCCCAGGATCTTGGGATCGAGGCCTTCATCCGGCTCCCTGCTCAGAGAGAAGACTGCTTCTCCCTCTCCCACTCGCCCTGCTTGTGTTCCTTCTCTCGCTGTGTCTCTGTAAAATAAATAAATAAAAACTTTAAAAAAATGTATGGGTTGTTTGTAGCACTGTGACTCTGCAAGCTGTGCTAATAACCAATTGAAAATTTGCCACTGAAAGTGGACTGGGCTTCATTAACATCTCAATAGAACAAAAGGTACAAGGTACAAACTATTTAGACTAGCAAGTATCACAATAATTGTACAAAGGATGGAAATTCATTCCAGAATCTTGGAGCAATGAGAATGATGTCAACTAAAAAAAGCCCCAGGAAGGTGGTCAGGTTAAGGAGCACCCCACTTTCCCATGGGATTTCTAAGGGCCTTGATGGGGGTATGGGGAGGTATGAAGTGAGAAAAGGAAGGAACTCCGGACCTGCTAACTCTCTGCAAGTTCCCTGAATGAAACCTGAAGGGTTCATCCACCCAGAAAAGGGATCCCACAGGATTCTTACCCTATGACAGTCATGTCTGGGAAGCCTCAGGCAGGAGCTGTGTGATGAGGTGTACCTTGAATTCCTATCAGAAGGCTCACAGATTTGAAGTCTTCGGTGTGAAGAGTTGGCCTTAGGTCAGCTGACTGGAGGAGCCAAGGACCTTTTAGGAGTGTAGTGAGACACTGAGCGAGTAATGAGGTATGCACCCCCCACATAAGTGGGGCCCAAGAGTCCCACATGTGGAGGGCTCCAACAATGCAGCTAAGCTCAGGCACCCAAATACTTCCTAATGGAGGTAGGGAACAGAATGAGACCCTTCCTTGGTCTGAGAACAACAGGCGGAGAAGAATCAGTGAAAGCCCCTGTGTGAGCGCTGTGAGACTCCTCCCCCTACAATCCAGCACACCACACACTACCTCCATCACTCCCTACCCCGCCCAAAGAGCTCCGCCCAAAGAGCCCCACCCACAGAGACCGCCCTCACCCTCCAGGGTCCTCCTCCTGGGGGCCCAGACCCACATGACCGGAAGTGGACCTCCTGGCCCTCAAGAACTTCCTCCGGACCACGCCGTGGGTAGTGAGGCCTTGTCGGACAGCTCCTGCCTAGGGTGAGCCCAAACTGGGGACCTGTATACTGTTAAGGGTCGATGTGCGAGGAGTCCTGGGTTACAACTTTGGGGACACACCTTCGACAAACCCCCAGCCCCAACTCCCCCAGAAGAAGAGGTGCAACAGGCCCTGCCCGCTCCACCCCTGCTCTCGGGGCTCGGAGGCCCCAACATGGCGGTTAAGCCCCAGGTCCCTTCACTTACCTCGCGGGGTCTCGGGGATTGCAGGCCTTGGCCCGGGACTGCCAGACTCTGGCTCAGCTCAGCACAGGCAGATAGCCCCAGGCCTACTGGTGGGAAGGAGATGGCCTTTGTGACGACTGGGGGGAATCCATACCCCAGAACAGAGGCCACGTGGAGTCTCCGCTCCTGGCCTTGGCCGTGGCCTGGGAGGGTCTGGGCTGGTCTAAAGACTGAGGTGCTGCCTCACTTTGTGCTCCAGAAACTCGGGGAGGTAGAGGCCCAGGTCTAGGGGGCTGGCTGCCGGTCAGCAGAGGGAGGATTTCCAGGTCGGGCCGGCACTCAGGGTGCTAATGAGTCTCCAGCTCCTGCCGCCATTACCATGAGTGGCCAGAAGTGGGGCAAGGGAGGACCCGGAGTGAGGACTGCGGGAACCAGGAACAATAGGGCCTGTCCTCTCCTGTCGATCCTTAACATTCCAAGAAAGGGACGTCCGGCTGAGACATCCCATCATTTCTCCCATCAGGTCTCAGGCAGGTTTCAGCTTTAATCTGCAGGGGCAGCCTACGGTCAGAGGAAGGGAGGGTCCCAGGTCCTACACGGAGTCCGAGTGGGGGTTCTGCGTCATTCCGAGGACCCCACGGACTCAGGGCAGAGAAGCCCTCCCATCAGTGGTCAGCACTAGGTGCCCCTGACTTCAGCGGTGGGCTGAAGGCTCCCTCCTTCCCTCCTTGAGGGTACCATGGAAGATCCCAGGGTCGCCTTCAGAGCAGGGGAGGGGGGTGGGGGCCCAGGTCTTCCCAACACTTAACAGGCGAAGTGTCCACCCTACATGGACACTGGGGTCTTCACTGTCAGGAACACTGCCGTCACCCTGGTAACACCCCGGCAGGGCTGGCTGGCTGGGGCCCAAGGCTCACACCACCTTCCTCCTCAGGGCCCAGGCTGACCAGGGTAATGGGAGCCCTGTGCGGTCCTAGAGCAGTGCCCTGAGGGACCCTGCAGGGGCGGCCGTGGGCAAAGCCAAGGTGGGATCTCTCCACTGAAGGGACTCCCCTCACCTCACTGTCCCCCCTCTCCAGGTGCCTTCGCTGCCTGCCAGCCCTGCCCAGTGTCACCATGCCTCGGCGCCAGAAGAACAAGGCCCGTGCCCGGGAGAAACGCTGCGGTGGGGCTCAGGGTGTCGGGGGTGCTCCTGCTGCTGTAGCAGCAGCAGCAACAGCAGAGGAGCCCCCCCGCGCTCCTCCGGGCTCCCCGGAGGAGGCGGGTCCATCTTCACCACCCGAAGGTGGCCCCGCCCCTGGGTCTCCTGGCGCAGGGTCTCCTGGCGCAGGGTCCCCAGGCCTGCCAGGCGACCAGGGCGCCGAGAACCCGGCCGCGGCTGCTGCCCCGGCCGCCCCTCTGGCCATTCGCAAAACGCCCCTGATCCGCAAGGCCAGCATGCTGGTGCAGTTCCTGCTGGAGAAGCACAGCTCCGGGGAGCCCCTGATGCGCGTGGCGCTGCTGAAGATCATCGGCAGGAAGTACCGCGAGCACTTCCCCGAGATCTTCAGGCTCACCTCCCAGCGCATGGAGCTGGTCTTCGGGCTGGAGGTCCGGGAGGCCGACGACCGCGGCCAGTCCTACACGCTGGTCAGCAAGCTGGCCCAACCCGGCGAGGGCACCCTGGGCGGCGGCAGCAAGGGGCTGCCCAAGTCCGGCCTCCTGATGGCGCTCCTGGGCGTGATCTTCATGAAGGGCAACCGCGCCAGCGAGGAGGAGGTCTGGGAGTTCCTCAACGTGCTGGGCGTGCAGGAGGGCAAGAGGCACCTGGTCTTCGGTGAGCCGCGCAAGCTCATCACCCGAGACCTGGTGCGCCAGGGCTACCTGGAGTACCGCCCGGTGCCCGCCAGCGACCCTCTGCGCCACGAGTTCCTGTGGGGCCCGAAGGCCCGCGCGGAGACCAGCAAGATGCAGGTGCTGCAGGTCCTGGCCAAGATCAACGACACGGTGCCCAGCTCTTACCCCCAGCTGTACGAGGAGGCTCTGCTAGACGAGGAGGAGCGCGTGGGGGCCAGACCCCAGGCCAGGGGGTCTGCCGCGAAGGGGGCCCGTAGCAGGCGCCGCGTCTAGTCAGGCAGTCTGGGCGGCTGCTTTTCCCCGGGGTGGAAGAGGGCACCTTCCCAGTAGTGCAGAGCCCTAGGGATCGGAGGGAAAAAAAGCATAGATGTTCCTCCTGTTTGTTCTAAACTGTTAGCTTCTACAAACATATATAGTTATACTTATTTAGGTGTTCTCAAATGTTTTTTTCTTGTAATAGGTCATTTAGCTCTAGAATATAAACTTAAGAATGGCATGGATCTCATTTATTGCTGTCTCACAAGGGAGAGTTATAGGTTTGGTATATGAAAAAGAAAGTCACAAACCATCTATACTATATTTACGATCCAAAAGCAGATAACAAGGAGCATTGATTTTTTTTTCCTGTTGCACATAAGTAATCTGTAGGTCTATTTTTTCTTTAAGTGTTCAAATGTTGTTCATTTTAATTGAATATTTTGCATCTGAATCTAAGTTTATTAATGCCATAGATAACACATTTATTACTATTCAGGTTTCAAAGTAAGAGATTTGTTTTTGTAAACAAGCTGAAAAACCTATAGTATTTTCTTCTTGCTACAGAGCAAGGTAACATGTTACTGGAATTGGGTTTTTCATGGGAATGTGAAAGAACATCATAAGAAAATACTTGGGATCAAAAATTGGTGACAAATAAGTAACCATTCTCTTTGTCTTTACTTTTAAAGTTAAATAATATATACCTGGATATGCATAGCTAATTCAAAAAGTGTGAGACATTATCAAATAAATTAAACTTCTGGCTCATTCCCTTCTTTCTTCTAGCATTAATTGATTACCTGCTCTTTTGAAAACTCCCTAAAAGCACCGGGATTGTTAAGAAAAATAAGACTGGACCACGGCACATAGAATTGTAGACTTTAGCAGTAGTCAGCATATAATGAGGATGGTAAGATACATTCTAAGAAATAAATAAATGACAAGTTTAAAAAGAGGTGCACAGGGGAGGTCCTAGATGAGAACAGTATGGTATAAATTACCTCATCAAGGCTGTGCTGGCCTGGGTAAAGTGCCAGTCCCTTGAGGGAGAGGTCTTTCCAAGCCAGGCTGTGCAGTTGGCTAGATGTGGCTGTGGGAGCGCCTGGCAGGGCGGGGACCAGGTCCTCAGTCAGTTTTTCCACATTGAGAGACTAGGCCTAGAATGGAAAAGATTTTCACAGTTACTTTGGGATTGTGACAAAACCACTGACAGTCCCTGGCTGGGGCCGGAATGGAAGGGGTCCTGTATGCTTGCTCCAGTGCAGGTAACCCAGTGCACAAATGTGTTCTAGGCATAGAGTGTCCGGAGAGTTTCTGAGTAATCAGAGTAATACTCCATTGAAGTGAGATTCCAAGAAGCCCCTGGACTTTACCACTTATCACGGGATAAGTAAAAGCTCTTACTCCATTAAAAGGGCATTTTAACTAAGTTTTTTTGAGTATAATTTGTCAAACCCTTAAGGGAGGGACCAAATTTTAGTGGCGATAAAATGAATGAAAATAGGGGGTGGTTTGGATGGAAATGGACCCAGGAGAGAAGTTGTTGATCCTTGGCACAAATAGCAACTTATAGTTGCATCCAACTGGAGAAGACATCCCCAAACCCATATTAAACAATAGATGCTTTGATGGGCAAATACTATTGAGTTTTATTTGTCCAGGAGCATTTCGTGGATTTAGATTTCTATATTGTTTGGAGTTGCATATTATCTAATTCAAGCTGGAAATAAAATTCTGTGAGGAAACAATGTCACCCTCTGGGGTCAAAATCATCTTAGTAATAACTGCCATTCGTTAAAAGTACCAAACTTAGGGGTGCCTAGGTGACTGACTTGGTTAAGCAGCTGATTTCAGTTCAGGTTATGATCTCAGGGCCTTGGGATGAAGCCCTGAGCCCGGCTTCACGCTCAGCGGGGAGTTTGCTTGTCCCTCTCCTTCTCCCTCTGACCTTCCCCCTGCTCGTAATCTCTCTTTCAAATAAATAAAATCTTAATAAATAAATAAAAACACTGAACTTTGCTCAACACTGTGCCAGGTGGGTTAAACACATCAAATGTAGGTCTGTTGTGTTACCTGGTAAACATTATTGGACTCACTTTTCAGCTGAAGAACTTAGAATATTCTCAAATTTAAGGCGGGAAAGTAACTGCTGGCCTAGACCCTGGCTCTGGATTCCTCTAGAGCCCACATTGTCACTCCTCCCAGGGTGAGGCACACCTGTGTCGCTTATTTCATTTTTCAGCTCAGTATTCAAAATGTATTTTAGGTGTTAAAAAGCACAACTTCATACCCAAAATACAGTTCTGGAATACACAGCCCAAGGAACAAGCAATAAGAATACCAAAATCAGGGTGCAGTATGAATAAAGAAAGAGACAGTATTCAGTGACAATTACATTATCAACAAAGGAAATGTCAGTAAACCTCAAAAGATCAGGGACTCACAGTATCATGTGGCTGAGCCCCTTCATTGTGGAAAGTAAATCTTTTAGAAGTGAAATTATGGAAGGGGCTAAGACTGTGATGAGAAGGAAGATAGCAGCTTGCTTTCTGTGAGAGCACACCACCAATCATGGGCCCCTACCCTTCCCAGCTTCTTCATCTCACATCACCATGGGAATCAACCCATTCACTGCTAGCTTTGCAGTAGGGAGACTAAGCAAGTGTTTGGAAGGATGAGGTATTTCCCAGGAAGCCTTTCAAAGAAGAGACAGAAGTCAATATGAAAATTCTGAAGAATGAGGACTAAGGAGGCAAACACCCCATAATAACTAGAATCACGGGAAGACTGGCGGGTGACCCCCTTGGCAGAGCTGCCAAGATAAGCATTCCCTCACTTATTTTGGGGTCCTCAGGGCCAAGAGAGCTTTGGTCCACATGGGTGATCTTAGGCTGAAAGAGAGTGGAAACCCAGGGCCTGCTAGGAGTCAAGGTAAGGATCCTAAGAGAAGACTAGCGGCAAACCCCCAGCTGGGTCAGAGAGGGCCCCATGAAGCCTGAATCCTGATACCACACCTGGAAAGGAACAGGCAGGAGTAACTTGTGCAGGCCCTGTGTTTCCACTTTCTTTTAGCTTAAGATCACCCATGTAAACCAAAGCTCTTGTGGCCCTGAGAAACCCTAAACAAGTGAGGGCATGCTTATCTTGGCAGCTCTGCCTTGGCTTCCTAGGTCTGAGAGGGGTCGCCGGCCTGTCTACCTATGATGCTAGTTACTATGGGGCTCCCATGGTTTAAGGTAAGAGACCTCAGACAAGCAAAGGAAAGAGTCTCAGGTCCTACCAGTAATGAAGAGGAGGATTCTGAGTGAGAACTTAGGGAACCCTTTTGTCTGAGACCTGAGAGAATCACATAGAACCCTGTCTTTGCTAGAAGCCCTTGGATACCTGAGCATTGTTGACATAATGTGACATATTCACTTCCTCCTGTGGTGTCACAGGGGGATGGGAGACTTAGTCTAAGGGGTGTGGCTTAAGCAGCAACAGTGGAAAGATTTCACAGGCCAAAGTGAATACCCTGAGGACTAAAGGAGCCACACGCCCCTAACAGTAGGAGAACGAAAGCATTAGTTTCTTACAAGTGTCCAGCTTCAGGACACCAAGGACAGGTATGACCAGATAAAGAGGTCCTCACTTTCTTCTAGGGGTCATAGGGTGGTAAAGACCTTGATATGAGGGACAGGTCTAAGGGTAAGGGAGGGAGGAACTCCAGGCCATGTAAAGGTTCAGGGATCAAAGCAAGGACCAAGGGACTACCTACCACTGAACAGAGAGAGTGACCAAGAATCTGGCTGCACCCCTGGCTTCAGCCCTAAGAACTAGTGCTAGGTTATCAAGTCAAAAATCCCCCAACACTTATTTCTATCAGATTTACAGGGACTGAAATCCTTAGATTGAAGGTACAGTTACCATTCAATGAAAGGGGTGGAGTTGCCAGGCCCTACACAGACCCAAAGTAAGGACCCTTAATGAGGATTGAGGACCACAAAGAGGCCAGGATAGAAAATTCCCCACTGAACATTCAGACCTAGACAGGAATTATAAGCTGGAAACCACTTTCACTTCCTTATTGTGGGTGCCAGGGATGCTTGTGACGTCAGCCTCAGGAGAACAGAGGAAAAAACCCCATGACCTGCCACTAGTTGAATGCGTGTCTTCCGTAAGAGACTCCTCAACCACGAGACCGGCAGCCCCTACTGTCACCCCAGCATGCCTGAGGCAGGTCTGGCAGGAAGCAGCATAAACCTCACTCTACTTTCTTTCACAGGTTTCCCAACAGACTGGCTGATTAGGGAACGGGAGCCCTGTGGGTTTTTAGAGAAGTGCCCTCGAGGAAAACCACAAATGTAGCCTTCCTTATATACCACCAGCCAGGGTGGTGTTTTCATGCTGAAGGTGGGCACATCCCGTTAAACTTTGTCTTCCTTCAGTGGGCCCTCATTGCCTGCTCAAACTCCTGACCACTGTCCGTGATCATACTCATTATGCCTCGGAGTCAGAAGAGTAAGCACTGCACTCGTGAGAAACACCACCAGTCTCACAGTAACTCCCAGAATCACAAGGGAGTTCAGGCCCCTGTAGCAATGGAAGAGCCCCCCACCTCCTCTTCTCCTGTTTTGGAGGGTAATACCCCAAATCTATCAGCTACAGAGTCAACTAGCACTTCCCAGGAGTCTTGGGGTGGCCCATCTACCACCATTACCTCTTCAGATATTTCTGGTACAAGATCTGATGAGGGTAAGGACAGCCAACATAAGGAGCACCTATGTTTCCCTAAGGTCTCACCTTCTACTAAGAGTTCATGCATTGATATTCTAACTATGAAGGTGGGTTTGCTGGAACAGTTTCTTCTGTACAAATATAAAATGAAACAGCCCATTGTGAAGGAAGACATGATGAAGATTATTGGCCAAAATTACAAAAACCAATATCCTGAGATCCTTAAGAGAGCCTCTGAACGCATTGAGGTTGTCTTTGCGGTCGAATTGAAAGAAGTTGACTCAACCAGACACTCCTATGACCTGGTCAGCAAAGTGAAACTCCCTAACAATGGGAGGGTGCGTGCTGGCAGGGGGTTACCCAAGACCGGTCTCCTGATGACAGTCCTGGGTGTGATCTTCATGAAGGGCAACTGTGCTGCTGAGGAAGACATCTGGAAATTCCTGGGTATGATGCGAGTATTTGCTGGGAGGAAGCATTTCATCTATGGTGAGCCCAGAAAGCTCATCACCAAAGACTTGGTGAGACTACGGTACCTGGAATACCGCCAAGTACTGAACAGTGAACCTCCACGCTACGAGTTCCTGTGGGGTCCAAAAGCTCAAGCTGAAACCAGCAAGATGAAAGTCCTGGAATATTTGGCCAAGGTCAATGATACAGTTCCCAATGTCTTCTCATCAAGATATAAAGAAGCTTTGAGAGATGAGGAAGCAAGAGCCCGAGCCAGACCTACCACAATAGCCAGTGTGCATCACAGGGGCACATCCAGCAGTTTCTCCCACTCCTATTGAAATCTGAGGTTTTAAAAAAATCATCTAAATAAGAAAATATGACATCATAGTAGGGGTTTTCAGGGAAATGTGAAAGAATCCCACAGTAAATTTACTGTGATAATGGAATATAAAAAAATGATACAACATCAACTTTGGTGCTCTTTATGCCTTCAGTCTTTTGTTTCATAAAATTAAAGGATTTACACTTCAATATCCTTAGTTTGTTAAAGAATTTAGGGGACATTACTTCACAACAAGTCAGACCTCATATTCTCTTATTCCCCAAATGTCTACTGAGTAACCTGCTTTCTGGAAGGTCCCATGCTAGGAATGGGAACGCTAAGATAAAGACCTAGCCTTTCCCATAGAACTTTAGAGACTAGTAGCTATGATCGTAAGGAAGATACTGAGATACCCTCTATGTCTTATAAGAAAGTTAAAAAAAAGAAAAATAAGATGAGAAGGGACGTGTCCTAGGGCAGATAAGTGTGTATATTCCCTGAAACAAGGCAGTTTAAGTTTGGGGATCTTTCAGGTCAATCTATGCGATGTAATTTAAAATTAAACTACATGATGGACTAGACTGAGGGTGTGGGAATGGTGATCAGAGGCTATACCGTAAGATGATGCATCTCAGAGATGAGAGAAAAAAAAATCTCTAAACGGAAAACTACACTGTGCTCTAAGGTCTGAAATTAAGGTTCAATATTATGGGTTCCTTGACATTTAGTGAAACCAACAGGGCCTCAAATTGCCTAAATGGAAGGTCCCCTCCAGACTGTACACTTGCAGATAAGGTCCACTATCAAACAACCATCTTCATCAAGGGGACAAGGGGCATACCTTGCTTATTCCTAAGTAGCAGATCTCTGTTCCCTTCCAGCTTGCAGAATTATTCAAAGAAGCTGATTACATGGTACCATGGGAAATAAGGTCACCTCAACCTTTTGACACCAAACATTGCCTCCCACAGATGTGCTCATTCATTGTGTACCTCAGTGACCCTCACATTTTACTATGTAGCACATTGTGCCCTTCTCCCCTAGCCAAGTGAGTACACATGATTAATAACCAGTTGTCTGTCTCATCTTTGCAGTGTCAGGTGGTGCATGTTTGAAGTCCACATAACCATAGAGTGGAAGTTCCTTCCTCACCTCATGGGGTAAAAAAGAGGCCATTAAAACAAACTCTGATAAATTACTTTGGCATTGTAGATAATCCAAAAAGAAATCTCTACCTGGGGCAGTGTATTAACCTGTTAGGAATGCCCTAAGATAATAACACATACTGGGTGGTTTAAAATCAAATTTATTTTCTCATAGTTCTGAAGGCTGGAAGTCCAATGTCAAGGAGCTGGCAAGATTGGTTTCCTCTAAGGCTCCTCTCCTTGGTTCCCATATGGCCACCCACTTTATTTGGTTGTCCTTTTTCGTGTAAGAATCTCTGATGTCTCTTTTGGGCCCTAGTCTTTTTTTAATAAGGACACTAATCAGAGTGGGTTATGGCCCACCCTAATGGCCTAAATTTAATTTAACCATCTCTTCTATGACTTCATCTCGAATTATAGTCACATTCTGAGGTATGCAGCCGGAGGGGGTTGGTGTCATGGCATCAATATACACTTTTTGGGGACACAATTCAGCTCCAAAAAAAACAAGAATCAAAGGTGTCTTTGTTACTATCTCAATAAAGAAGAATATAGTTTACAAATAGGTGTTCTAAATACAATGACTCCAGGGTGTTTCAAGAGAAAAGGATGAACTCCCTTGAGGTGACACCCCCAGAAGGCCCTGTATTAACACTTATTTGCTTTAAACTGGTGAAATCAGGAGTACCTAAGTGGCTCAGTGGGTTAAGCCTCTGCCTTCAGCTCAGGTCATGATCTCAGGGTCCTGGGATCAAGTCCCACATCAGGCTGTCTGCTTGGCAGGGAGCCTGCTTCCCCTCTCTCTTTGCCTGTCTCTCTGCCTACTTGTGATCTCTCTCTCTCTCTCTGTGTCAAATAAATAAAAATCTTAAAAAAAAAAAAAGAAACTGGTGAAGTCAGAGTCCACTGAATTAAAAGAGCATTTTAATTAGAATATCTTGGTTATATTTTGGCAAATTCTAAGAGAAGGTTAGATTTTGGTGGGGAGGAAACAAATGAAAATAGAGGTGATTTGAATGGAAGGACAACTGGGAAGAATGTAAAGAGTAGGTCCCTGACAAAATGCAAGGAGTTTTAAGTTGTATCCAGGTGGGAAAAGAAAGGCCACACACCAAAATTCAATAATAAACACTCTAATAGGGAAGAGATACTTAATTTTACTTGCTAAAGTGAATTTTTGGCTGATTTGATGTTCTTTTGTCTTTTGCCAGTCATCTTGACAGATGCTTTATAAACAGTACCTACATTCCTACAGTCTTACAATATAGTTTACCAAACTCAGCTGGCACATGAAGAACTGCAAATATTCTCATATTCACAAGGTGTTAAGTGTCAGAACTAGACTATACCTCTAGTGTGAATTCATCCAGGGCATACAGTGGGTTACCACTCCCATCCTGAAGCAGACCTTATGAAACTTTATTCACTTTTCTTGTCACTACTTCGAAATATATCTCAGGGAAAAAAAAAAAAAAAGAATATATGGCCGGAGCAGTAAGAATACCAAAATAAATGAGAAGTACGAATAATGAAAGGAAGGATATAATATCTCCAAACAATGCATAGTGTTGCTTAACTTCAAAAAATGGCAGTCTCATGAAACTGTCTGGCTCAGCCTGGTTCCTATGGCAAGTATTTTATAACAGAAGCTACCTAAGACGACAAGTCTGGGTAGTAGAGAGAAGGAATGGATCAGTGTAGTTTTTTACTCTGATATTTTGCAGCCCAAGCTAAGTCTCTTAATTGTTTTTACCTTCCCCATCTCCTATCAGTCCTGGGACGCAGACTCATCCTCTTTAAGATTTGCATGAGGGAGATCACTCAAAAGTTTGCAGGGATGTGGCATTGCTCTGAAAGCCTTTCATTAAAGAGACTGGAGCCAAGATGAGGACTGTATGAACAAAGCCTGACGAAAGCAACATGCAGTCACGTAGGCAGTCACACAGCGACCTCCCCTCCCCTGCTTTTACATCTACACTGTCAGACTGATGTCTCTGTAGGTAAGGTATCAAGGGTGTGAGGGCCATGTAATGGTGGTGGTAGAGAGAAGGGCTCAGGATCCTAGATAAGTGTAACTGACAATCCTGTATGACACTAAGGGTGTTCTCCACCCCAGAACAGAGGGGGCACCAGAGATCCCGCCCCCTTCTGCCAGCCTTGAAAGACCGTGTCGTTGGTGACAGGAAGAACAGCCTTCACTTCCTCTTGGGGCGTCTAAGGAAGGTACGAGACTTTGCAGTCGGCGGCCACCTCAGGGCAGGCGAGGGAGGAATCCTCCCGAACCAAGCACAAGGTGAGGAGCCTGATTAAGGACTAAGAGAACACCCTCTCCCCTCAACAGGCCTCCTTCCGAGGACCCGCCGCCACTTTTGGTCCTAGCCGCCCCCCGCCTACCGGTCACACCCGCGCCTCCCTACCCCCCACACCCCCCGCACCCCCGTGCACCAGTGCGCGCATGCGGCAGAGCGGTCAGTCAGGCTGAGGTTGATTTCTCAAAGGTTGCAAGGTGAGGGCTTTGGTGGGAGGCGCTAGTTCAGTAGAGGGAGGAGAAGACCGTAACAAGAATCAAGGTTAGAAAACTTAGGTAGAAATTCTGACCGGAGCCATGCTAGTGGCTCCCGGGGAAAATAATCATGGCGGTCGGTCAGGTGGGCCTGAGTTTTCCCCTCCATATTTGAAGGACCAGGAAGCTGAAGGTATTGATCTCAGGAGAAGCGTACCATGCCCTGAAGGAAATCAAGGGTGTGGGAATCCGAATTAGGACTGCAGGGACCAATAATTCTAGAACAATAAGGTGGCATAGAACTCACTGCGGCCATCAATACTGGGGAGCTCCGAGGCAGGGCTGTCAGGCTTCTCAGGGATGAGAGAGCCATGGTCTGAGGGCCAGGGCCCTAAGTTAGCAAATGAAAGCATTCAACTGGGAATCAGGGTAAAGACTCTGTGAGAACTAAAGGAATCTCTATCCTGGTGACATATTGACTGACATTCATTTTTTTCCTATGGTGTCACATGAGAGTTGTGGGGGAAGAGAGTGTGTGCTGTGGGGGGGGGGGGGGGGGG